AGTGAATATCTTTGTATACATTTTTATTACACTGATGATATTTCTGTAAAATAGTTTAAGTAGGATTTGTGGTTTAAAGATATCTTTTACACTTTAATAGATATTCCCAAATACTTTTGAGAAAGATTATAGTTTATAATTTTGCCAACAAATGCACAAAAATTCTGTCTCCAGATATGTTAGCCAGCACTGGACTACCTATAAATTGGAAAGATAAACAATATTAAATTATACTGTTCAGATGCCAGTACCACAGAGTTGCAATCTAGAGACTCTGGGGAAAGTCCCAGGAATTGCAAAAACCTCTTGCAACAGAAAAGTTGATTTTAAAATTCAGATGGAATCTTCAGAGACCATACTCCTCTAAACAATCTTGGGAAAGAACTAAGTAGGAAGAGCCACACTTGATAATTTTCAAACATGCTGCCAAGCTGCAGACATTGTAAGTCTGGCACATACTTATTCAGTCATCCATCAAATTCCTCTCCTGAGAGCTCAGGGAACCCCCTGAAGGAGGAGGTGGAAAGAGTGTAAGAGCCTGAGGAGATGGGAGACACCCGGAGAACACAGCCCTCTGAATCAACTAAGCAAGGTGCACGTGAGCTCACGGAGGCTGAAGCAGTGGCACAGGGCCTCCAAGTCTGTACACCAGGGCCTCTGCATGGATATTACAGCTTTTAGCTTCACATTTTTTTAGAACTCCGGGGAGTGGGAACCAGTGGATCTCTGACTCTCATGCCCGCTCCTGGGACTCTTCCACCTGTCCGGTTGCCATGTCCAACTTCAAATTGTAGTTTTTGTTTCATCTTCTTATATTTTATTTTGTCATGTTTGATTGCTACCTCTTAGGAAATGTTCATTTCTATGAGAAACAGAAAGGGGGTGGATCTGGAGAGGAGGTGGGGAGGAACTGGAAGAAGTAGAGGGAGGGGAAACTATAATCGGGATATATTGTATGAGAAAATAATCTATTTTCAATAAAAGGAAAAATCCATCGTGTCAACAGGGGATTCAGAAAAGTACACAGATAGAATTTAATAACTTCTTATTATGTGTAGCCCCAAAGAGAGAAGCCCGGGAGCATCTGTGTGGCCCCTTCCAAACACCCCCCCAAAAAAAGTCTGGCATACAGACAGATAAAATGATGACATGTAGACCAATGAAACAGAAAACAAATCCCAGAAGTGACCTCCCCTCAACTACATGGTCAAGGGCAGCGAGACCACACAGTGGGAAAAAGCATTCCACCACAGATGGACGCAGAAAAAACTGAGCATCCCTAATCAGGAAGACAAAACATGGACCTGAGCATAAACTACATTCAAAAATAACTCAACACAAATCAAATACCTGTAAGTAAGACCTAAACTGTGGAAATAGTACAAGAAAACACAGGGAAAACCCTGCATAACACAAGATTTGTATTTTGACAATGGCCTCAAAAACAGAGAAGGAAAAAGGTAAAATATGAAAACACGATTACTGGAAATCTAAATGTAAAACAACAAAACTCTGGTAAAACTGAGCTAACTGCTCTAATAGACATGTCTCCTAAGATGTTATGACAACACAGGGATATAATAATAATAATAATAATAATAATAATAATAATAATAATAATAATAAAAAGGAAGGTATCACTAATCATTTGGAAATTCATCCTAAACTACAGTCAGATAGCACGTTATGAATGGCTGATATCAGAAATGAAGCAGAAAGAGGAAGAAGAAAGGAAGAAATATGATGGACCTGGTGGCCCAGACCTATAATGCCAGCTACTGCGGAGGCTGAGTCCACATGAGCCTTAGATGCAGAGCAAGGTCAGGGCCAGACTGGAAAACCTAGAACCTATCCCCAAAGAAAATGAATAGGATCTCAGGATTGCTGTCGCTCAAGGGTGGAACACTTGTCCAGCATACAGAAACACCAATGCTCAATTCTCAGGATTTCAAATAAACAAGAAAAACAAAAGTAAGAGAATAAACAAATAAAAACAAATGTTGTTATTAACAAGGATGGCAGCATCCCCTGAGCTCCAGCAGGCTTGAGCAGCCCTCTCTCCATGGCCCCGCCCCTCACAGCACAGCTGGCCCCTCAGTCTCAGTATCGCACTTTGACATGTTTACTCTGACTAGAGAGAAATGATGCTGGTATCCTTTTGTGTGTTGAATGGAAATGATTCCAGAATCGATCTTTTTTTTTTTTCTTTTTTCTTTTTTGTCAGACATTGAAACTTTGGGTTCTAAAAGACAATGCCAAGTGTATATTCTTCAAGCAGATAATGTGTGGTAATAAGTAGAACATTTCATTTCTGTGCCAAAAAAATATAACTGACTATTTTACTGTTGTTTTATTGTTTTGTTTCCTGTGTGGGTTTTGAATTAGGCTCTCATGTTTCTGAGACTGGCCTAGAATTGGCTTTGTAACTGAAAATGACCTTGAACTTCTGATCTACCCGACTTTGTGTCCTGAGTAGAATTACAAGCATTAAACACAGTGCCCCGTTTATACAGAGCAGTACTAAACCGGGGCCTTGGTGCATGCCGGACTGAGCAGCATTCCTACCACGCCTTCTGCTTTTGTATTAAAGCGTTTGCCTCCAAGTAAATACTTGCTGGACGTTTTCCTTGGTGTACCTTGTTTTGTAGTGGTTTTCAAGCAAGCTCAGAATAGCATTTGTCGGTTCCTCTCCCTCCGTTCCTGCCCTGTGTCACTTCTTCAGCAAATGTCACCTTCATACAGAGTGCAGCCGTATGTGGAGATTAACCTGTATCTGAAACTCGTTATTCACCTCCTCGTGGTTTCATTTATTATCCTAATTATTTAAAAAGGTACTCTCATTGACATTTGTCTATGAAAGTCATTTTGTTGTTTGTTTGTTGGAGACAGGGGCTTTCCATACATAGAAAGGCTGGCACCAAACTCATGACATAGGTCAGAGAGGCCCCCAAATCTTCATCTTCCTGCCTCAGCCTCCAAAGTCTTAGGAGGGAGCTATTTATGCACAGAAAAAGAAAGGCAGAGAGACAGAGAGACTGACAGAGAGAGATAGAGAGAGAAAGAGGGAGAGATTTTGTAACTTCCCTGACTTGCACTCTTATGATGTCTTTTTCTGAAAGGAAAGGGAAACTCCGAATATACCAGTGCTGTGTCAGATTTTTTTCCTATATTTTTTATTAAGAAAAATTTTTCATTCATTTTACACTCCAATCAAAGATCCCTCTCTTCCCTCCTCCCACCTCCCTACCCTCCCCCTCCCAACTCACCCCCCACTCCCAACCACAAGAAGGCAAGGCCTCCCATGGGGAGGCACATCCAGTAGAAGCAAGTCCAAGCCCTTCCCCCTGCCTCAAGGCTGCATGAGGTGTCCCATCTTAGGTAGTGGGCTCGAAAAAGCCCACTCATGCACCAGAGATGGATTCTGATTCTACCGCCAAGCGGCCTCCCAAGCAGATCAAGCTACATAACTGTCTCCCCATGCAGAGGGCCTAGTCCAGTCCTATGTAGGCTCCACAGTCATTGATTCAACTTTCATGAGTTCCCTCTAGCTGTGTTAGATCTTTACCCAAACCACTGACAATGGTGTCAGAAAGCTGTACCTTACAGGGAGATTAAGATTTATTTGAATTTTTTCAAAGTGAAAATAGTTTCCTAGTATAATTTAACAATGTTGTTCTTGGGCTTCAGAGCAAAAGAAAACTAAAAATTGAGAAAAGTTTTGAGTTTCTAGATAATCTGCACACTTCACACTCTCCTGCAAACACCCATAGCCATAAAGGTAAAATAAGACAGTGTAACACAAACATGTGAAATAAAACTTTATTCCATTTACCAGTATGTTCAAACCTGTGGGCCCCTTACAACAAGCAGCCAATGTTACAAGCCCCACATGTGTGCCCACGCTTCCCTGCAAATAGATACAAGTGCAGCAGGCTTTGTGGTCCCCTATAGTATAAGATTCTGTGCATAGATTTCCCCTACATATAACCCAGACAAGTCATTAGATTTGTTTCCTGTCTCATACCTTTCACTTTCTGCATGATGTTCTGGAATGAGAGTATACCACACTTATCAATGGTTCCTTTACTGAATTGCCTTTTTTTTTTTATTTTTCTGTTGTGACCACAATCAATGGCGTTATAAATATTTTGCACATTTTTATTATGCTTCTATGAAATAATTTTTAAAAGGTATTGTTGAATTAAGAACACATGTATGCTTTTAATTTTAACATGTGTTACCTAATAATTCCCTGAAAAGTACAATAAATAGTTGTGCCATGTGCCTAAGAAGATTATATCTCATTACTGTATCCAGCACAGACTTTTTATGAGTTGAAACCATGGCAGACATTGAATTATGTTGGTAAATCTCAAAACTGCAGAAAGTGATGGAAAGATTATGGAAAAATCTTATAAAATTTTGAAAGACGTTTTCACAAAAATAAC